TCAGCAGCTGATTCCAGGAAGCCCGGGGCAGAGAAACTCTGCCTCGGGCTTCCTGTAGTCAGCCGCTGGTCAGTTTCAGCAGTGGCTGAATCTGGATGCCAGTTCCGACTTAAGTACAAATTCGACTTAAGAACAAACCTACAGTCCCGATCTTGTACGTAACCCGGGGACTGCCTGTACTTCAATTTTTGAAGAATTTCTCTGAGCATATTGAATACTTAAAGTTTAACTTCCTGTCCTTTTGTAATTGGCTTTTTTATTTATTATAATGAAGATTGAGATTATTTAGCTGTTTTAACAGCTATTTTTCCAAGTGTTCCAAAATCCACATGCTTGCTTGAATTGTTTTCAAAATTGTGGTGCCATGTGGATGCCTGAGGTAGAGTTAGTTGTCTAATTTAGAGGTTGTTTGAGCAAGAGTTTCCAGAAATACAGTCTCCCTAAAATCATGTGACGACAGAATTTTCTGGTGCTTGTGGAAAAAAAAGTTGTATGCACTTGGGGCACACTACAACTCTGAGATCCATCTCAAGCAGGTGATCTCAGATGTTTGGCAACACTGTTGCTTTGGGGAACCAGTGCTTTAAGTTATGCTAAAAGTTAATCTACATTGTTGCCCACATCAAGTTGACTAGTCACAGAAAAACATTTGCTCATGTGCAGCAGGGAGTGCTTTCTTGCAAGCCAAAGCTTTTCAAGGTAGTCTGATATTATAGTAAATATGTGGCTCAGTGGTGGTGTAAACACTGTTGTAAGTTTGAGTCCTGCTTTTGGTAGTCTCTTGAGACAGTGGTGTGCACATTGTTGCCTGTCTACTCTTAGCCAGGGTCCTTTTGGAAATTTTACCCTGAGAGCAAAGTTTATAGTTTTAAGAGCTTATATTTCAAACTGTTCTAAAATCCTATATGCATATTTACATTTTGCTATAGAATAATTGAGTATTAACAAGAAGGAAGATGGAAGACTTTAGTAAGCAGCAGCCTTAGGGTAATGTAATCATGCCGCATGCTCCTCACCCATTCCCTGAAAAATGTAGCTGAGGTCAAATCTATACTAAAAATGTAAGTTGACCCAGATACGTTGCTCGTGGGAGGGAGGGAGGTGAAAATCCACATTTGTGAACAATGTAGATGAGCTGTCCTAACCCTTCTATAGACAGCAATAGGTCTCAGGACAGTTCTATGATACAAAAAGCTGCAGTGTTTTGCTGAAGATGCTTAATGGGAGAGCTCTTAGTTCCATCTCTTGTGGAGTAGAATAACTGTGTCAGCAGGAGATGCTCTTCCCTGACATAGTGCTGTCTACATGGAGAATTAAGGATGGTATAACTACATCACTCAGGGGTGTGGATTTTTTACACCTCTGAGCAACAGATACATCAAAGTAAGTGTATCTTGTAGGGTGGCCTCAGGAAGCTGGATTAACTACAGCAATGGAAGACCCCCTCTTATTGCTGTAATGAATGGGTACACGTAAGTGCAGGACATAATGTTACCTACGGTTTTCTGAACCCAAAACTATGATAACTAATCTTTGTTTCTTGATTGGTCTCAGGAAACAAATCACTTGAGGGTGGTGGTGGGGGAGACAGCCCCTCCGTCTGATAAATGAATGGTATGCACAAAAGTGATTTTACTCAAACATCCTTTTTCATTGAGTCTACAGCACACATAAAAAAACCCACCAAAAGTCTAGAGTTCCCAAAATCTGAGATGATGAGGAGCGGTGGCCATCCTTTTTACTAGCTGCTGGGGAATCATATATCAGCCTCCTAACTTGTAGAAATCCTCTTTACACTTCTCCAAATTACACATGCTAATCTTTTCATAGGTTGCTCAAAACAAAGCACATGATGGGCACGTCTACACTGCAGGGCTAAAGCCGAAATGAGCTACGCAACTTGAGCTACGTCAATTGCATAGCTTAAGTTGAAAAGGCTTATTTTGGCTTTTGGTGCTGTCTGCACAGCAGGAAGTCTGAGAGAGAGCAGTCTTCCTCCAACTTCCTTTACTCGTGAAATGAGGGTTCCAGAGTCGGAGTAAGAAGTCCTCCAGCCCGACATTATTTCAACATTATGTCGAAATAACTGCTTGCTGTGAAGACATAGCCAACCTGAGTAAATCCTAATAGGTTAACAATTTTGCTAACATGAGCAAAAAAATAATAATTCTGGTTATCAGCATAGCTACTTGTAGTCACAACAGCAGCAAGAAACTCATGGTTCAAGGTTAGTTGTTCACACTTCCTCCTATTCTTCTGAATCTGTTGCCTTCTCTGTCCTTATTAGCAAAGCTATAGCTACAGCTATTTCATATGCTTATGCAAAGGTCAAGTTATTCCTGATTGTGATATTCTTGCTTCCAGTTAATGGTGCCAGAGTGTACCAAATGGCTGTTGTTATATCAAGTACAGTTCTCTCATAAGAATAGCTTGAGTGTAATCAAAGAAAACCAAGTGGCTTCAGAGTTCATCAGTGTCAAAATGATCAAAGTGATTGCTGAACATCAGGAAATGAACCCATAATGGAAACCCCTATGCTAATCATTGATGTGAAGTTTACATTTCCTGTTGTAAAACCATAATGCTGGCATCAGTAAGAGTAATTTTTATTTATCAAGAAAAGTTTAAGACCATAAATGTTAGCTCATAATAATTAATCCAATCTCTGCCAACCAATCTTTCTGATAGATATAGCAAGTATGTTGACTATCCGATAAATTTTTGCTTATTGGATAGTCAATTAGTTGCTTCCATCACAGTTACTGTTGCTACCAACAGTGCTACTACCAACCAGTGCTTTTTTTGTGATGGTACTGCCCAGTACGCAATACCGGCACCTCCAGTCAGAGCTCAACACCTTTTCCCCGGAGTACTGGCACCGTTTTTTTGTTTTTTTTTTTAAAGAAAAAAAGCACTGCTACCAACCATACTATTAGTGTGCTGTGTTAGGGTCAGGGATAGAGTTAGTGGTGCAAGTTGGGATTAACTTTATCAAGGGGGTTCTCAGGTACAGCCGCTGCATAAAGAGTTCCATCGCTCATGAGTATAGTGAAATTGTCTTGAAAATTGAAGTAGCTCCATAGAGGCTGGGGTAGTTTTTGAGGATAGTGGGAGACGAGAAAACCTATTTAAGATGAACGGATCAGTTTACACTTCTGAGTTATTGGACTATTATTATTTATGGACTGAATTGCAAAGCTGCAATGGGGGTAGGTCCCAGACCTGGCACGAGCCAGGACTGAGCACTTTAACTTCCCTTAGCAACTAATTGTGTAGTCGATAACAATTCTACTCCCTCCTTAACATCTCTAATAAATACAACTTTGTTTAGACCTCGTGGAAGATGTTCCCATAACTTCAGTTGCTGTAGCTCAGATTAGAACAGAAGTGTTCCTGGAACATGAAGAGCTCACGGATTCTACAGAAAGTACCTCCACTCTAACACAGCTCAACTCCAGCCTTCCGAAAATTCATAGCAGGAAATTCAGAGAGTAAGTGTTTGTTTAGTATTGGCACTTCCTTTATATTATGATACCACTAGCATTGCTTGAGAGAGTTAAGTTACAACAGTATCATTCTGTGAAATTCTGACTGACTTACACTTTCAATTCTTATTTTCAACTATTCAGCAGTTTGGCACCTGATAAGCAACATCTTAGTAAGAAGCAAATATAGTACTAACATGTTGTTCAGATTACAAAGGCAAATCATGATTGCCAGAAGAGGAGGATTTAGTGGCGCAGATTAAGGAGAAGCAGCCACTCCTTAGAAACAAACACTTTGCTTATAATGTGAAATTAATCATTTAGAGAGAGAATTAGGGCTATTTCACCTTTCCAAAAACACTCATTATGGTTAGAATATGTCCTTCATTTTTCTGCTGCCAGACAGGATGATAGAGGTGCAGAGAGTGGCATGCGTTTAGTCAAATGACATGTTTATGTGTGTTGTGCACACAGAGAAATCAAGGGAAAAAGTTTTCTATATGAACATTTGAAATGTTATCATAGCAGTTCTGTGTACATTCTCTCTTTTTAACAGAGACATTTTGGTTATTATATTTGAATAACAAGTCAGATATCCATTGTAGGAAAAATGAAACAGCTGTTGACATAACTGTAAAAAGAGTCATTCTTTTGGTATTCCTTCTACCCTAGATAAAAGTGAAAGTAAACATTTGCTTCTTTTTTTTATGAACAAATGTCTTTTGTTCATCGCACCACAATAATATTTCACTGAAAATGGCAAACAGGTCTGCATATGCACAGGGCCGCTCAATCATAGAGGTCGTCTACTGATTGGCATTCAGGGTCTGAAGGACTCTCTTTTCTGCAGCTGGATTACAATTGTTTTGGATTTCCATTGTATTGTTTTAATGGACAAGTCCATTAAGCTGTTATTGAGGTAAATCTGAAATGATAAATAAAGTTTTTACCAAAGGCTACATCTAGACTGCAAGCCTCTTTCGAAAAAGAGCATCTAGGCTACAGCTAGTACTTCCGAAAGAGAGCACCCACGCAGTCTGGATGCTCTCTTTCAAAAAAGCAGTTTGCATTACATAGCAACCTTTTTCGAAAGAGCGCTTTCGAAAAAAGGCATTATTCCTCATAAAACGAGATTTTCTGCGGTCAAAAAAACTGCCGCGTTCTTTCAATTTACTTTTGAAAAAATGCAGCAGCAGTCTAGATGCAGGGGAAGTTTTTTTTTTTTAAAGTGGCCTTTTTTTTTGAAAAAACCGTGTAGTCTTGACACATCCAAAGATCCCCCCACTGAAATTAAAAACTAATCAATATGAAACATAGTTTGTTTTAACGTTAATAATTATTAGAATTAGGAGTCCAGATATCATCTCTTATGGTAATACCTGGAGGGAAGAGCAAGAAACTCCTTTTGGTTCCCTTATAGGAACCCTCTAGTCTTCTAGTATCAGAGGGGTAGTCGTGTTAGTCTGAATCTGCAAAAGCAGCAAGGAGTCCTGTGGCACCTTATAGACTAACTGAAGTGTAGGAGCATAAGCTTTCGTGGGCCAAGACCCACTTTGTCAGATGCATGTAGTGGAAATTTCCAGAGGCAGGTCCACAAAACTCCTTTTGGTTCCCTTATAGGAACCCTCTAGTCTTCTAGTATCAGAGGGGTAGTCGTGTTAGTCTGAATCTGCAAAAGCAGCAAGGAGTCCTGTGGCACCTTATAGACTAACTGAAGTGTAGGAGCATAAGCTTTCGTGGGCCAAGACCCACTTTGTCAGATGCATGTAGTGGAAATTTCCAGAGGCAGGTCCACATATGCAGGCCAGGATCAGGCTGGAGATGAGTATATACCTGCCTCTGGAAATTTCCACTACATGCATCTGACAAAGTGGGTCTTGGCCCACGAAAGCTTATGCTCCTACACTTCAGTTAGTCTATAAGGTGCCACAGGATTCCTCGCCGCTTTTCTAGCGTGGGAATAACTGGTTGGCTCCAGTATTTGCAAAGTTCTGACTTGCAAAGTGTGAGATCTTGGTGTATCTAAAGGCCATGTGTTCGCTTGTGGGAAGATTGGCGCTGCAGCATTGGATCTTCTGGCATTTGATAGAGCGGATCTAGTAAAGACCTGCCAAATTGAATGCTGAGGGCACCCTCATCAGTGCTGGTACTGCTACTCCTCACAAGGAGAAAGGGAAATTGACTGGAGTATTTCAAATAACAACCTCCTGCTGTAAGGACGATGCAAAATCTCAGCTTAAAGTACATGTTTTTTTACATAGCTGGAATGGCATACCTTAAGACACATTCCCCCGTAGCATGGATCTAGCCTTAGATCTATGGGGATTTAGGACTATCCATATAAATATACCCTATCAATATGTAGCCACTTACTCCCCTGCTTTCTGGTAGCTTGGCTCCATGCCTTCAGGTTTTTGGGAGAGGAGGTGGCTACCAGTGTTGAGGAGTCTTTGGGAAAGCTAAGGCTATATCTACATTAACACTTTTGCCAGTAAAACTTATGTTGCTTAGAAGTGTAGAGGGGGGAATCACCCGTTCCTGGCGCATATACCATAAAATCTCGAATATAATGCGCACCACTGTATAATGCGCACCCTGACTTTTATCATAATGGAAAAATCTATACTCCTATATATAATGTGCACCCCAACTTTGCCCACTGTACATGTATTTTATGATACCTGTCATCATAGATATGAAAGCGTTGTTAAATTTAGTCTATTAGATTGCAAGTCTATGGTATGCCGGCATGTCGTATTTCCTGCCTTTTTATATTGCCAGTTGATTGCACGTGAGCGCACAACTATAGAATACACGTCATTTATTTTCATAAATGTCAGCAATTAATTAACTATAAACTATTTCATATTATTTGTTTTTAAATATTTTAAAGCATTCTGGGAATCTCTACCATTTCAGTTGATGTTGATTTCATGTTTGCTGCCATCTTAGCGTGGCATCGGCATAGCGGAGGTTCGTTGTCTTCTGACACGGAACTGCCAAAATAATTAAACAATAATGCGCACCCCGACTTTGACCCAAAATAACTCTGGGAAAAAATGTGCATTATATTTGAGATTTTACAGTAACTTACACCAACAGAACTTCTGGTGTGGACAATGCTATGTTGGTGAGAGAATTGTTGAGGGAAGTTTAATTATGCCAATGGGAGAGCTTTTGCCTGACTTCATAGAGTGACCATGCGGGAGACTTTACAGCAGTGGTCTCCAACCTTTTTACACCCAAGATCACTTTTTAAGTCTCAGAACAGGCGAAGATCTACTGCCCTGCCCCTTCCTTGAAGCCCCGCCTACATTACATGAGGACAGTTTGATGGACATGAGGACATCTAATGTAAATGTACTGCGCAGGTGCGCAGTTCAGAGAGGGCTCAAGAGCTACTCTTAGAGCCCCTGAGATCTACCGGTAGATCGCGATCTACTGGTTGGTGACCATGGCTTTACAGCATCACAGCTGTGCCATTGTGTAGTCTCTAATGCAGATGTAGTTTAACTTTCCACACTGATTTTCACTCAGTGCTACGAGGAATGAGGTAAATCTTACTCTTTCTGTGGTTCTCCCTCCACAGACAGATCACAAGGACATGGTTAAAATAATGATACAGCTGACTTTGACTCTAGCAACAACTTTGCCTTTTTAATCTCGTATAGCTGATTGCTATACAAATCAACTACCAGTACTAAAATATGCTTGCTACCTCTTGGTTCTAATGAGTGAAAATACATTGACAAACTTTTATTAGCAAAACCAATCTTTTGTCTTGACGTACATGTCTTAGCATAACTTGATAAGGGAGCTGGAGTATCAAGAAATAAATACGTTGTAATCCACTGGAAAACCTGAATAACTTTTTATTGTCCAGTATACAAAACATGTATATGAGAGTATAGTATTCTGCTTGCAATTGCAGAATATTTAACACTTAAACAACTGATTCCTTCTTCTAGTTACTGTAGCCAGGTACTTAGTAAAGAAGTTGACAGTTGTGTGACAGATCTTCTAAAAGAACTGGTTCGTTTCCAAGATCGCTTGTATCAAAAAGACCCAGTGAAGGCCAAGACAAAACGCAGACTTGTTATGGGGCTCAGAGAAGTTTTGAAACACCTGAAGCTGAAAAAATTGAAATGTGTCATCATCTCTCCAAACTGTGAAAAGATTCAGTCAAAAGGTAAATGTTTTATTTAAAAAAAAAAAAAGGTTTATTTTCAACCTCTCCAATTTCTCCATATATTTCTTGAAAAAGATGAGCAGATCCTATAGTATGCTATTAAGCTTCAAGTAATGTTGCTCTGCACTGAACATTTTGGCATTTCTAACTGCTGCATTTTAAACCTGTAGTTTTTAACTAATGAACTTCTGGCTGTAATGCCTTGTTAATTATAACTGTATTGAATAAATTATACTTTTTGAATAGTCTCCTTCTCAGTTCTTTGTCTGTTCCAGGTGGGTTGGATGAGACTCTACATGCCATTATTGACTGTGCCTGTGAACAGAATATCCCATTTGTCTTTGCTCTGAATCGGAAAGCTCTGGGACGTTGTGTGAACAAAGCAGTGCCTGTCAGTGTGGTAGGAATTTTCAGTTACGATGGTGCTCAGGTGAGTTGAACAAAGCTTTTGTTCCATATTTTAAATTCATATTACTCTGCATGGGTAAACAATAAAGGCTGACTGTTGGAACTAGTTCCCTCTTGGCCATTCTTAACCAAAAAAAGAAGAAATGGTTACTAAACAAAATCCCAGTACATTATATTTATATTATATATAGCCCACATGTTTATTTAATATTCTGAGTAAAAGAGGTACAAAACTTGTACCTTAAATCTTTACACATTTCAGCAGAGGTATGGTTTAAACCAAGGATTCTTGACCTTCCCACCGCCCTCCCTCCCCAAGGCCTCCAACATGCTATAAAAATTCCTCTGCCCATCTTTGTCTCAAGAGTTTTTCTGCATATCCAATAGCTTAAAAGCCAGGGCTGACATTAGGAGACAGCAAGCAAGGCAACTGTGTGGGTCCCCACAACACAGTGGACTCCTTGAAGCTTTGTTGCTTCAGCCCCAAGTGACAGGGCTTACGCTGTGGATTTCTGCCTTGGGTGCTAGCAAGTTCATCCTTGGACTTGCTCTTTGGTTTATAGTAGTAGACCCTTGACACCTGCTCCCAGCACCGCAGGTGACCCTAGATCGCTGGTTTGAGCCATAATAGTGTTTCATGTTTTCTTACCATTGGCCTGTCTCCTTCCCCTCCCACCCCCCCCCCCCCCCCCCAACGTTAGGACCACTTTCATAAAATGGTGGAACTGACAATGGAAGCCAGGCATGCATATAAAGATATGGTAGCAGCTTTAGAGGAAGAGGCAGCTGAAGGAGGAGGAAGTGAAAAAGAAAAACAGAGCATTATCTTATCCACTCAATGTGAAGAGAAGAGCTTGCCTAAGACTGGTCAAACGCCTCATGTGGAATCTGATGAGGATGTACCAAATTACAGTGAGTATTGAGTGGTTCAGTTAGTTTTCTTTCCTACTCAAATTCTCCTTTGATCAGAATCTTTGAGACAATGCAGACTACCACTGGCTGGTTAGGAGGGGCAAACCATATCGCCTTGACCTGTGACCTTACTTTGTTTACACCCAAGTCAGACTTGGTTGTTGTTTGAATGAAAAACATCCAAGGAAAACCTAGTATTTCATAAAGTTCTACTGGTGACACTTTTACGTGCATCTGTACAGCAAAAGCTCTACATTGGCTATCCTACCTAAGCTAGCCTTAACATAGCTAACGCTGGTAGCAATAGCAAGGAAGTCATAAGAATATAAGAATGGCCATACTGGGTCAGACCAAAGGTCCATCCAGCCCAGTACGCTGTCTGCCAACAGTGGCCAATGCCAGGTGTCCCAGAGGGAATGAATAGAACAGGTAATGATCTTGGCTAGCAAGCCAAGTGTACTCTGGTCTATGTTGGGATTATGCTACCTATGCTGTTTTCTCTATTGCGTCTCCCAAACTAGCTATATTTAAGTTAGCTCGGGTAGGCTTTTGATGTGTAGACGAACATGCCCCTAGGAGATGGCACTCAACCTTCTAAGTACTTTCTGAAATAGTCCAGCTTGTAAATGGCATATTCTGCTTTTTGTTAATAAGCGCTCCCAACCATTTGTGGTTCTTAAAAATCCACTGGCATCACTTATAAGACTAATTGGTCCAAGCAGTCTGGCTAAACTCTGGATAAATAGTTTCTTAATTTGCTACTGCAGCTTCAGTTGCATAAGATTCTTCCTTTCCTAAACTATTTCTTTACTGTATGAAGTTCTTCACCTTATAGCTAATTGGGATGTAAAATCCCATTTAGTTAACCAGTTAAGTGATTTAACAGGGTGAAGGGGGAGGTGCCTGGAGCAGTCCCAGCGTCCCTGCCAGCGGTGCACCCTGGCCGGGCCTGCTATGGGTGGTGGCTGCTTTGGCCAGGATGGAGCACGCACCACCCATAGCAGAGCCCACGGGGCTGGAGCAGCCCCCACTGGTTAACTATTATCAGTAAGTCTCACTCACACTAAGGGTCATGCTTACTGGTTAACCATAAATATCCCTAGTAGGTAACTGCATTTGCAGGACTAAAGGCATGATCCGAGTAATGGTCTGAAAGACAAATTTCCAATGCTGTATCATGAGCACCTTTTATAGTTACAGGTCCTAAATATGCACACACAAAAAGTTATACACCAAGGCTACATCTAGACTGGCCCCTTCTCCGGAAGAGGCATGCAAAGCAGGCAAGTCAGAATAGGGAAATCCGTGGGGAAAAGAGCATCTAGACTGGCGCGATCCTCCAGAATAAAGCCCTTTTCCGGAGGATCTCTTATTCCTACTTGCAAGGAATAAGAGATCCTCCGGAAAAGGGCTTTATTCTGGAGGATCGCGCCAGTCTAGATGCTCTTTTCCCCACGGATTTCCCTATTCTGACTTGCCTGCTTTGCATGCCTCTTCCGGAGAAGGGGCCAGTCTAGATGTAGCCTTGGTGTATAACTTTTTGTGTGTGCATATTTAGGACCTGTAACTATAAAAGGTGCTCATGATACAGCATTGGAAATTTGTCTTTCAGACCATTACTCTGAAACAGCAGTAGATAAATGAGTCTGCTGCATTTTGGGAACTTGACACAATTAACATAGTTTAGATCATTTGAAATTTGGCCTGCGGGGACTGTCTTCCAGCAGGTGCTGCCAAGTATGTTAGTCTGAGTCCTTTACATGCTGATTTCTCTCTCGATTCTTACGTTGGCCTTCATTCTGTGGGATTGAGCAGTAGGGTTGTCTATGAATACTAAATTTAGAAGAAGAATTGTACGATACCCTGGGAGAAATTAAAGTGATTTTCCTTATTCTCTTCTTTGTTTACAGTCAAAATCTGGAAGAGAAAGCTTGAGGAGGAGTATAACCCTTATGCCTTGGAATTAGAAAAGAATGCAACTACTGAAATACTGACCTGAATTTAGAAGAGCCTAGGTAAAGCTGAATTATCAAAAACAAATGACCCAATCTCAACTTGTGGTGTAGGAAAGTATAGTATATTTAATTTGAATAAGGATAAAACTGAAAAATACAATTTCTCGTTTTATTTATGAAAAATAAAATAGGTATAAATCCCAGGTGCAATTAGTACCTTTTTGTGTATTCCACCATGCACTGCTTCTAAATGCTCAAAGCAACTTTCATTTCAGGGTGGTTATACACTGAAATAAACTGCCTAGGGAGGTTGTGGAATCTCCATCTCTGGAGATATTTAAGAGTAGGTTAGATAAATGTCTATCAGGGATGGTCTAGACAGTATTTGGTCCTGCCACGAGGGGAGGGGACTGGACTCTGACCTCTCGAGGTCCCTTCCAGTCCTAATATTCTATGATTTTATTATTTCATCTTGTCTAGCAGTCCCCTGGAAAGCAGTTGCTAAGGGGGTGTTATGCAGATGAGCCAAAAGCCACACCTATGAAGTCAACCTTGAAATTATTTTACAGTATAAGTGATGTCATTGTATACTGTGTAAGATATGTTGATTTCTCAAAATGTTTGGGGTTTTTGTTTGTTTGCCTGGTGTCCTATGGTTAGAACATAATGAAAGCATGAGATTGATGGGTGGGGAGTTGTCAGTAAAGGAAACAAAGCACCTTTGCTTTGACAATGAACAGATCATTGGATAGGAGATCTGTGTTTTTATAATTTGCAGCTGAACCTTAACCTGTGTGAGTCCAAAACTGAAAGGATTTGGGCTGGCAGTGGACATTCCTGGCCCAGTAAATGTTTGCGTATGAAGGTGATTGTTGTTTGCACTGTGCTATTAGAACAGTGGTTCTCAATTTGTTTCAGTGCACGACCACCAGGCCAATCAAAAAATATTCGTAGACCACCTCCTTTTTGAAAATGCACTTAAGTCGAGGTGCTGCCATTTCAGACCTGATAACTGCTGCTCAGAATAATCTTCATTCTTTTGCAGCAAGTTGGGATGACACTTTGAGATGGAGTTTCAGCTTAGCCAGCTTCATTGAGTCATTCCCCAAGACTTTGAAACAAACAATACATTGTGGCAAATCCACACGGCCTTTTTCTTGACAAGTGAAGCCGAATTTGATGTTGTCCTCTGAATACTTGCGCTTGACATTTCTTCCTGTCATTACCAACTACACCACACCTGTAAACAAAAAAAAGCACACGTAGCACAGGATGAACGACACAGCAACTGCTCAGCATGACGGCGGCAGCTACACTGATGCTCAGAGCCTCAGACGGAAGTTCCTGGCAACACAACGCGGTTGCATCCTAGGTGACGCTATGGATGACGCGCTGCGTGCTTGTGAACACTGTGTGACTTTGGACAGTGTTCCTATGGACCACTGAAAATGTCACCATGGACCACCATTTGAGAACCACAGTATTAGAATGTTTAGAGGTGCATATAACCACTATAGCAGGGTTGGGGAGCCTAGTTTTTCTTGGATCTAGGCCCCTCCCCCCCCCAGCTCTAGTTCTGTGAGGGGAATTTTTCTTCATGTTTGTCAGGGGGCTATGTCAGTGAGGGTGTGTTTTGCTTTTTCTCACCTGTGAGCAGCCCTGTCACCCAAAAAAGGGTCCCCACCCCTGCACTATAGGAAAGGCCTTCATGGATTTTGGGGGAGATGGGGTGAGCAAGTTTTCAGGCTAAACTTTTCCCTTTGTCACTGCGTCATGGAAAGGGGCTTGCAGCTGAAGAGGCAGCTAAGTTATTGCATAGATGAGACTCTATATGCTCTAGGTTTACTAGTCTGCACAGCTCATTTTGCATTTCCCTAAAAGTACACAAAAATGACTGTCAAGTCCTAACTAGGGTTGTGAATGCATAACTGTGTAAATGGTTAATCGATAAGGCTGGGCTTAACATTCATGGTTACACGCAGGCTCTTGGGGTGCTGACTGCCACTCAGAGCTGCTGCCTTTGTATCAGAGGCAGTAAACCATTCTCCATGAGCAGGGCTGCTGTTGGGAACCAGTGCATGCCAGAAGCTGGCTTAAAAGACAGCACAGCAGCTTCTTGGGATTTGACTGCATGTAATGGCTGAGTTTTTCAGTGGTTACAGGTTTACACAATTATCCACATTTTAACATACCTATTCCTAATGCTAGTGTCCTTAACAGTTTTTCATTGTAACAAACTTTTGTCCTTGCCCTCTCTAACAAGCCCACTGGCTGTGTCTGGACTGGCCAGTTTTTCCGGAAAAACTTGCCAGCTGTCTACACTGGCCGCTTGAATTTCCGCAAGAACACTGACTTCCTACTGTAAGAAATCAGTAGTGCTTGCAGAAATACTATTCTGCTCCCGTACAGGCAAAAGTCCCTTTTGCGCAAAAGGGCTAGTGTAGACAGCTCAGATTTGTTTTCTGCAAAAAAGCCCCGATCGCAAAAATGGCGATTGGGGCTTTTTTGCAGAAAAGCGCATCTAGATTTGCACAGACGCTTTTCCACAAAAAGTGCTTTTGCGGAAAAGCGTCCGTGCCAATCTAGATGCTTTGTTCCGAAAATGCTTTTAATGGAAAACTTTTCCATTAAAAGCATTTCCGGAAAGTCATGCCAGTCTAGATGCAGCCACTGTGTGTATGGTAGAGCTGATGAAAGCAGAATTAGTGTGTGGAAGATGATTAAGTAATGAATGTGTTTCAAGAGTGTGAAGTATTCAATGTCGTTATCATTCGGACATCCCTGTAAGAGAATCTCTGCTGGACACTGCCCCCCACTGCTTCATTTCCAACGTGGTTTACTGTGTGCACCACCACAATATGCTCTGTCTTTAACTTAACAGATTCTCAAATTGCAGGAAGCAGTATGTCAACTAGCTCCCTCTGCTGGGCCAACAATCACTTCTACACATTTAATTTTTTTTAGTTGATTTTAATAAATTCATAGTGGTTTCCTCCACAGTGTTCACTTATGTGTGGTGTGCTGAATTACAGCCTCACCAGTTGTAAAGGTTCTTTCTCACAGCCAGAGGCAAAAAGAAAGGCCTGTGTCTCCAACTACCTCCTCCTTAGCCAGGGCTTTGGAGCAGAGCCTGGAGCACAGAAAATCTTCACTGCTCCAGGTTTTTTTCCATTTTCAATCCAAAATGAATATTTTAGCAAGAAAGTCCTAAAGGTGCCAAAAAGTTTCAGATTGTATAACAATTGATATTAACATTTACTACGTAATATGTCACAGTTATTCTCACTTTGGCCAAAATCAAGATTTAATGTACAGATACAAAATTACAAAAGTTTTTGAAGGTATGTTTTATTAAAGAATCAGATAATTATCAGACCTTCAGCAACACTGCAAACTGCCCCACCCTTGTGCCAAGGTTAGGCGAGTATGTACTCACATAGATTAGTTAGATCAGTGGTTCCCAAACTTTTTGGCATCACGCCCCCCTTTTTGATTTTAGAGAAACCCTCCCCCCCCAGCAGCAAAACTTGTGGGGGGGGGGAGGAAGGGCTGGGTTGA